TAAACTTATCAAAGATAAAATACCAAATCAGGGACATGTTGAAAAAAGGCCAAGTCAAGAGCACCCTAAACCGTAGAGCATGTATGAAGAGAATAATGAAAGTGGACGAAGCGAAACAAGTATGTAAGGATCGTAGCAAATGGAAAGAAGTGGTCTCTGCCTACCCCTACGGGAAAATGGCGTGATTATATGTATATGTTATTAAACTTAGATTAGAAATAGCAATTGTTGAAAATCATTCTTATTAAATGAAACTAATTTTTCCGGATTTTATCGCGTTTAATTTAACTTTTTAATTCCCGACGTTGTGGGTGCTTTACAGCACCCACGGTCACGGGGGGCACTGAGGTGTTTGACGTCCCGATGTCATAGTTAGCCCGGCTACCTTCAGTTTTTGAGGTCTTTCTCTTCAGGTTTTTGTAGTCTTCGCGTAAATATAAGAAATAATCATTCTTATGTTTAATTTACCACTGGTTCGGAATGTACCTATGTCCTGGGAAGAATCGGCAAGAAACCCAGCAAAACATATTTAGAAAAGAAAAAAAAAGCAGTTCACAATAAAAAAATTACAAATCTATAGAAATCATATCCATAAATTCCTTTGTATTATAATAACCCTTTTTAGAAAATCTTTCTTTAATAAAGTTTTTGAACTTGGCGGTGAAAACATTTCCAATTAATCCTGCGATTATCTATGTTGTAAAAGCGTATACTTATGTTGTTCTAAGAATGAATTGCTGAGTCTGTGCATTCGAGTAACTGGTACTACGACTATAAAAGACTGGTGATTTTAATTAAAAGATATATATTTTTTTAATGTTACGAGGATAATTTCCGCCTCCATACCCCCACAGAAATGAGGAATTTACTTTTTTTTTGTGATTCGTTAACAAGACCTGGAGGCATAAGTTTCATTGTTTGATTGCAGAAAAGCTTGTTTTTGAAGTGAAAATTCTGGACACTTTTGGGATGGGGAAAAAGCACTGAACTCGCGTGACCGTCACGCTCAAATCTATACAAATAAATAAAATTGAAGTGTCTGTTTGTAATGTTAAAATAACAGCTTTTTATTAAAAGCATATGAAAGTATATACGGTACTTATAACAAAAATACAATTTTTAAAATTTTTGTCTGTCCGTGCGTCTGTCTGTTCCGACTAAAAAGGCTCTCTGAAACGGCTGGACCGATTTTGACGGGACTTTCACTGGCAGATAGCTGATATTATAAGGAGTTACTTAGGCTACTTTTATTTTAGAAAAGGATATCGGTTCCGCGCAAAAAAAATATTAAAACCCATTAAATCCAGGTAGACCGAGACTAACTTTCGAAGACCATGTGAGCAAATTGCTCGAAGAGGGTAGGGTCAAGAGTACTCGGATACCTAGACGTGCATGTATGAAGAAGATAATGAATCTGAAAGAAGCGAAAGAGGTATGTAAGGATCGTGACACTTGGCGATCTGTTCTCTCTGGCTACCCCGTCAGGGATTGTGCGTGAAGATAAGTAATAGTAATATTAAATCCAATCGTAATAAATTCCACGCGGGCGAAGTCGCGGTGAACAGCGATTACATATTTTATGAACCTAAGAAGTTTTCATTGCTGACTGACAGATTTTTTCTATTATGGATATCCGCAGATAAGTCTCTCTATTATACGTATAATAAATAACGTGACGTTACTCCCAAGGAAAGACCGTAGAGGATTTATTGATTGTTATATGCGTCTTAATTTTCATATTTAAAACTCAAATTTTATGTAAATTAGTAAATTAAGTGTTTAAGGAAAATTATAAAACAATTATGCGGTGACATTGCGTGCACTGCTGTGTTCCGGTGTAGAGAGCTATGGTGTGATCGCGGAGCAGGAAGTATTTCAAATTATTGCAATTCATACAAATGTGAACTTTAATCACTTGAGAATAAACTCGGTTTTCGAATCACAAATACTGTTCAAAAGGTCCTAAAACTATGTTAGTTGCAATAGAAATAAATTTTTTTACGATGGTAACAAAGTTTAAAAATGCAAAGCAATAACAATATTCCTGCTTCGCCACCGTGCTTTAGTATAACTACAGGCTGTGAGGTATTCCGCCTTAGTCCACAGAGGTGACAATACATCTGTGGTCTTCTTTGATTGAAGTTGGTTGCATTTGTCCATGAGTTGCAATACTCGTAGCCACTTACCATTATGCGGGTTGTAAATTCGATAGTTGTTCTTGTTTCATAAAATCTTTTATATCTAATAAAATGTCAACCATGACAAAAATTAATAATTTTCTTTAAATGTCACTTTTAACAATAACATTTTTTTTTAAATAAAATAAGACTAGGGTGACAAATGAGCACACAGTTCACCTGATGGTAAATGAACCTGTGGCCCATATAAATTTACGTTTTTTTTCGATTAAGAATCAAAATGCAGATGCATTCTCACCTGAGAATTGCCTCGTCTCTAGTCAAAAGGGTCTCCGGTTCTCTACACTCGTCATACGAAACACAGCAGGTATTCTGTGAGAGCGTGTAAAGCCTGAAATAGAAATAGTTTTAGTTTTTATTAGAATAGTAAATATAAATAATGCTGTGTTTCACATGGTGTGTGTAAAGAACCGGAGAAACCTTTTTACTGGAAATGGAGCATTCCATGACAGGGGTGATAACTCATTTGATTTTTAATCGAGGATATAAGCAGATGTCTATGGGCCACAGCATCCATTTATCATCAGGTGGACCGAGTGCTCGTTTGTCAGATTCTTTAAAATAAAAATAGAATATCCGTGGTAGAGTCTAGCTGCAGCTCCATAAAGCTGAAGCTTGGCTCTACCACGAGTTAAGATTTACCACCACGTGTAAGATTCTTATGTAAATTAATAAAATGAGACTTGTAATATTTCTTTTTTTATAGGATAGGGTGACAGACGAGCACACAGTCCACCTGATGTAAGTGGTTGCTGTGGCTCATAGACATCTACATTTATCCTCAATAAAGAATCAAAATGCAGACGTGTCTTCACCCGTGAAGTGACGATGGAATGTATATTTTCTAGTAAAATGGTTCTCCGGTTCTCTACACTGACCATACGAAACACAGCAGTGTCAAGCTACCATTTTACGCTGGTATTTTGTGAGAGCGTGGTCCTTTCCCCGGTCGAACCGACCAATATATGTGAAATGAATAAAAATACAAACAAAAATTATATCATACGCGATTCGGACATCTTCAAACATTAATCGTGTATTAAACGAAAGTAATATACGATGATATATCCTTATCATTTCACAGATAAACGTTAATCGCAAGAAAACTCAAAAACATGACTACATTCACACCGTTTCATTTAGCTGTATTAAACGCCAAAAATGATTTCTAGTGATTATATTAGATATTATAGAGGTAATGGTGACAAACGCACCAACACACACTTGATGGTAAGTAAATGCTGTGGCTCGCACCTATATCTATCCACATTTAAGAATCAAAATACAGATGCGTTGTCACCATTGAGCGATAAGATGGGTCTCCGGTTCTTATCACTTAACATACGAAATACAGAGGCATTATGCTGCTGGTATTCCATACGAGCCTTCCCCTTGTTAGCTGACCCATTCGTGTTACAGCCATAGTACAGCAGCAGAGGCTCTACAACTTAGAAAAAGAAAAAATAATAATTATAACTATTAACAAAAAACGTGTTTCTAAAAAAAGTTATTTTTTTTGTTACCCTTGGTGTGGATGTTTTTCTCCAAATTTATATGGGAGCACCCTTGAAGTATAACCTATTTAATAAAAAAAAGAATCACCAAAATTTATTTACAATCTGCGAAGATATCGTGTAACATTACTTACAAAAAATACACTCGAATGGAGAACCTCCTCCTTTTTGAAGTCGGTTAAAAAGGAATCGTATGCTTATTGAGCCATAGACAACTTTAGAAACCAGACATATTTTCAATATATTAATAAAAACTTAAAATAACTTTATTAATAATTTTCAATAATAAGATTTATTGTATAATGAAAGTACTTTTATCGTTATTTGATAAAATAAACTACTCTTTTATACGAAAAAAAAAATTTGTTCTTCAATATATATTATTTTAGACGAAATCGAAAGGTATTTTTTCCAAATTTTAGCAATAGTAATCGATATCCGCGATAAAATTTCTCAAAATGTTGCCCCGCACTAGCCAAAGTGAATGGTCTTAGGAAGTGCTTCATCAAGATAAGGTAAATTGGTTTATAGTTCGAATTTAATCTTTTTCCTTGTGCTCATGAATCTCAAAAATTTGATCTCATACAATTCAGTGTTTTTATAATATCGATTGTGTTGTATCTGTTATTCTGTTTGTTGTTGTTTTTTCTTTTAATTAAACGGTTTGGGTGTTAAATAAAAAATCATCTCGTTTTCTGACTTAATTCTGTTTATGTAATGTCTTAACTAACTTAGATAGGTTAATGTGTCTGTGGACTATTTAACATAGTTAAGTTTAGTTTAAGGTATACAGGGTTATTTTTCAAAGAGTAGCCAAATTTTAAACTTAATTTCAAATAAATAAATAATGATATACCAGTTTTTGAAAATACGTGTAAATAAGGCTTCTACTTTTATTTGAAATTATCCCATATTGAATGTGATTTATGGGCAACAACGTTTTTGCCTACCGATCGACAATTACGTTCGCTGTAAAATCAGTTAAAGTAATGAATTACCACGCATTTTGAATTTAAAGGATAAAAAGGACAGAATGTTTGAGATTTTTTTTAATTAACTTTTCTTCGCCATTGCCTATACGAGTATTACTTATTCTGAACCTTCTCTGCAAATTTGGCGGGTTATTGCAAAATATCCCTGTATATGTGAAAGGCTATAAGCCGGACCTTTATATTGGCCATCTTTCAATTCTCTCCTTATTTCAGCTTCGACTTGATCTTTTGCTTCTCTTTCCTCTCATGTATAACCTGTATCTTGAACTGCTTCACTATTTTCTCGACTCTTTCAGCTGGGGGCAGTAGCAACGAGGATCTCAGTGACTCCACTGAGGTTTCGACACAGAAATCTCAAGTGACGAAAGTTCTAAGAAAATTCTTCCCGAAGCGGCCGACAATGGAAGATCTCGTCAAGAAAGGAATTTATAAAGGTTCGAATCGTATATAAATCGTGTGAAGGTCTTTTAAAGGAGACATTGCGTTTCCGTGCACATAGTTTTTGGTACCCAGTAGTGATGTAGAAGTATTTAACATAGGTTTTAGCAGGTGTTGTTTTTATTTGCTATAATAATAACGCTTGTAGTAAAACGGTGAATAAAAAACGTAATCACAAGGCAATATATTATGATATATCGCTTTTTTTGGGAATCTAGCTTTATCGTTATATTTTACGCTTTTTTTGGGAGATGGTTTGCTTTGCTAAAATAATTTTTAAAATATTGTCTTTGAAATTAACAAGGGGTGATGGCAAAAATACTATTGACTATTGATTTACTTTTATTTTTAATTATTCCAAATTTGAATTCGATTGCAGGGACGAATTTTAAAAGAATATCACAAGAGTGCTATTTCAGTCTTCATCAAATATGGCATTAATTATCTGTGGAGAATAATTCTCCAAATTATTTAGTTACAGTAATCTAAATCCATTGCAAGGTAATGTATTAAGTTTAAGATATTGTCGGCTAGCAGTAGTGTTAGACTGGCAGTACCGGTAGGCATTTTTTTTTAAATTTTGAATGCAGTGTATTAACAAACTTTTTTTTTGTTTAGATTAAATTCGGCCTATTTATTTTCATAGTCAATTTGCTATTATATTAAAAATATATTTAAAATTGCGATTGAAAATTTATTTAATAAACTTTTGTTTGTTTTATTTTTATACCTAATTCCATGCTTTTCTTTTACTATACTGTGGTGCTATGGTAATGGTAAAGATTTTTAAATACTTAAAAGCAATTTTGTAGTTTGCATATTATATTTTTTAGGGGTGTGTGGATTTTTATAACAATACTAATAAGATTTTACTTTATTAAACACGTACGGTATGATATAACAATGTTATCGTGCTCTGAACTTATATGGTTATTTCCTCGTTTTACAGTTTGTCAAACACTACTTTTGAACATTTTGTGGAAGCTTCATTACCTTTAGTAAATTCATTTTGTAATTCAGAGTTAACCGTGTAGTGGCGGTAAGAAAATTCACTACCCCATAACTCTCATAGGTGTCGTGAGAGACTCCAGAGGAAAACAAATCAGGGGATAGGCAGCAGCGTCTTCCTAATAACGACTAAAAATAAAAAACGCGGTTGCGAACCCGCTTGCCAAGCGTGGCAGCTATAGCAAATATCCCCCATATAAGGCAGTCTATGGGGGAGGCTCATTTTCAGCAGTGGACTTCAGTAGGCTGTAACGGTAACGGTCACTTCTTTGAAAGCCCTAGCTCCTTTAAAAATAATTTATAACAAAATCTATATATAACTATATGCGCCCCGCGACTTCGCCCGCGTGGAATTTACTACGATTTCATACATATCAATTTTTTTGCGCGGAACCCTAATTTTAAATACTGAAAAATATTGACATTAATATTTATACGATACTAACGTCACTCAATTGTTTTGCTTTCCCCGAACCCCTCCACTAACACTTAAACTTTATGGTATGGTATTAAAGTTCAAATTGACTTTTAAGTATTATTACGAATCTTTTGTATGGGAATATAGAAAGGTGTTGTTTTTAGACTATTTCAGGCAATTTTTTAAATTTTTCTCTCCGTAAGAACCATCTTCGTACTTCAAGGAATATTATAAAAATAGAATTACCGAAATCGGTTCAGCTGCTCTCGAGATTTGTGCTTAGCAACACATTCAGCGATTCATTTTTATATTATAGATAGAACACAAATTATTTGTACGATTTCATGGTAAGTTCGATTCTGTAGGCCGTGACCACATGCAACCAACTTTGAACAGGCTTTTATATAGTCACCTTTGAGTATTAAAATTGAAAGTCACCCAGCCTGCAATCATACTGACCTGGCTCAAATTTCTCCAATCGGGATACATTATTGTATGCAATACTACTTGAAAAAATTGACAAGAATTTGGTACAAATTAGACGAACTACTAGGCGAATAGGACTTCCTATTGAATAATGATATAAGGATTAATGATGAATATTTAAGGACTAGTGAAATATTTTTGCTGCATCATCAATCTGCCAAGCGTGGTGATCCTCCCTACAAAGGAAACCCCAATACCAGCAGAGGACTTAGACTAATGAAAAAGAAGTATAAATATTTGCTAGCAATAATTTACGACAGTATATGGAATTATAAGAAACAGACAGTGGGATATAATACTAAAAGATATCTCATCGCGGTAGAGCAGCATCGTGCAGCTATATTAGTAGTATAGTTGTAGCACGAATGGGTCGGTTCGACCGGTGAAGGACCACGCTCTCAGAGAATACCAGCGTAAAATAGCAGCTTAACGCTGCTGTGTTTCGTGCGGTAAGTGTAGAGAACCGGAGACCCTTTTTACTGGAATAGAGGCAATCCATCTTAGTCCTCACGGGTGACAACGCATCTGCATTTGGATTCTTTATTGAGGATAGATGTGAATGTCTATGGGCCACAGCAACCGCTTACCATCAGGTGGACTGTGTGCTCGTTTTATCCTATAAAAAAATACCCAAAAACGACAACAATAAAAATTGCGTATGAAATTAATCCCTTGAAATAATTTCATTAGCACACTTGACCATGCATTAATTACTATTTTCACCGACTCAGCTACGCTATTTAGTTGTCTATGAGTGACGTCATCCATCCATTACTGTCCACTGAAGATAGGCCTCCCCTTATACGTATAAGGGAATATTTGCCATAGTTGCAATGGCAGGCATTGTGGCAACGAAAGTTTTTTTTTTATTTAGTATTTGTTTAGTAGTGTTATTAGGAAGACGCCGCTGCCCATCTCCTGGTTTGTTTCCCTCTGTCGCCTCTTAAGACACCCACGGGACGATGTGTGGTAGTGGATATTGTTACACCGTTGCTACACGGTCAACACACTAAACGGTAGTGACATACAACCCGCAAACATTAGCACACACCATTACGACGAACTGTTTTGGGATCACATTCCCCAATTTGTAGGATGATCAGACTTTTTAACCAAATTAGCGATCTCGTCGACATTAACCATGTTTCATTGGGAAAGTTTCGAAAGGCTGTCTATATGATAGGTACCTCAGATTATAAACATTTGCCTTGTTAAACACTTTTTCCTTTTTTTAATCTTTTAATTTTTTTAAATTTTAATTTTTTTTTTTTAATTTTGTAAATTTTGTAAATCCATACCTTGCCGCTCTGTTTTTGGTCAGATTGTTTTAGTGAATTTTATAATGGCAATACTACAGTGTTTCTATTCAATAAGTATAAATTCGTCTTTTAATTGTCGCGATAAAAGTTATGCATGTGGTGTTTACCTGTAATTGACTGTGTACTTAGTTTTAACTATATCGCTTGATTTATATGGGAAGATGTTAGTGCATAAGTTGTTGGTAAACCAATTTTAATAAAATAAAAATAAAATAAACATAAACATACACGTATAAAATGACATCACCATATTGATTCACCGTTTGTCTCTACTGCTGACACATTCGATTCATAACACTTTGTAATGTTAAGTCAAATTTAATTGTTACCTCGTAGATTTGGTGTTATAGGCTGCATTATTTACATCAAGTAATATTTAGTCTTATGTAATACTAGCTGTTCCCCGCGACTTCACCCGCGTGGAATTTGTTACGGTTGGATTTCATGGGTTTAAATTTTTTTGCTTGGAACCATAATTATTTTATTAAAATAAAAATAGCTCAAGTTACTCCATTACTAACAACATCAGCTATCTGCTAGTGAAAATCCCGTCAAAATCGGTCCACTCGTTTAAGTACCGTAAATACATTCATATGCATTTAGTAAAAAGCTGTTATTTTGACATTACAAAAAGGCACTTTAATTTTATTTATTTGTATAGACAATATGTCAAATGTGTAGTGGCTACATTAGAGACTCCATTACTCCATATCGTCCCATAGGCGTACAACCGTTAACCGTTACCGTTTCGCGTTGTTATACGTAGACAACAAGGCGAAACTAACCAAGAGATGGGCTGTAACCTCTTCTTAATAACTAATAAAACTGTGGCTAATTAAACAAATGTAGCGACTGTGCCTAATACCCCCTATGAAGTATCGCATGGGTTCTAACGTCCAGTAGTAGACTTCTGATAGACTGTGGAAACGGCGGAAAGTTTTTTACGTGATAGAACTATGCTGCAGTTATATTATGGTTGTAGCAAGAACGGGTCGACTCGACCGGGAAACAACCAGCGTAAAATAGCAGCTCAATGCTGCTGTTTCTTCCTATGATGAATGTAGAGAACCAGAGACCCTTTTTACTGGTTACGAGGCATTCCATCTTTGTCTTCAGGGGTGACAACGCATCTGCATTTTGATTCTCAATCGAGGACGGAAGACGTAGATGTCTATGAACCACAGCATCCACTTACCATCAAGTGAACTGAGTGCTCGTTTGTCACCCTTTGCGTTTTACTATGAGTTTTCTTCCTCGTACAACTTCTCTGTGGAAGTGTTTACCACCGTCGATTTTTCCGGACCGATATGACTTAGGGACCTTCAAGTAAAGATCTTATACCTTTCTAAAAGGCCGGCAACGCACCTGGCGGTGCAGTTGTTCATGGGCGGAGATAGTCACTTACCATCAGGTGAGCCGCATGCTCGTTTGTCCCCTCTTTTATAAAAAAAAAGCCCTTGTACTATAAACAAACAATGGTAATGTAACACAAAATGCTAATTATATTAATAGAAACCGTTTTTACTTGCATTATTTATTTTTTGTATTCACATCGTTTTTAATATGAATATATGTATGTATATTTAAATAAAAATATTTTAATCTAAAAGATTACACACGATATTAAAAAAAACCGTGATAAAGAAAAACTAAAACTAAAACTAAAATTCTCATACAGTCCTACTCCCCGTGACATTGAACATTATTCCTTGCATATTATTTCAATTAGGGATGTTATTTGGTTAGTTATACCACAGATTAAATATTAATACAAGGTTAAACTTAGATTCATTGTCAGTTTTGTCAGATTTTTTTTCTACTAATATAATATTTGTGAAATAAAATGCAAATTTAACAAATGTTATTTTTTGTGCCATCGTTAGATAAGAATAAAATTATTTATTTAGTAGATCCGTGGTAGTTCAGGGGCGCTTGCTGTACATTTCACAGTATGCGAGCGACCCGGGTTAGATCCCCGGCGGCACCAATGAAATTGTTAATTGCAGTTTTGTGTTATTGTACATATACATGTCAGAAAAATTAAAAAAAATCCGTCAACGCATTGAAGCAGTGCGACGGACATTTTCTTAAGTATTAGCGCAGAATTAATAACACGTATTAGTTTGCCTTCGTTGCCTCTTTCGACAAACACAGTGAACATTCTTAGAACCGTTAGCGGATGAGCATGTATACTTAGGTATATTACAGTGAAAGAAGCGAGGAAGATGTGTCAGGGTCGTGTCAAATGGAAGTCCGTGGTCTCTGCTCCTCTCCTAATCCTCTCTGGTTGACTGCCGTGAGAGTTTGTGTCATTCAATGTATTTATATATCTTAAGTCTCCGCCTAGTTGGTTTGGCGGTCGTTCCGTCTACTTAAGGTTCCAAGTTCGAATCCCGAGTCGGTCCTAAACAATCAGTTATTGAGTTTTTTTTTATCAAGAAATTCTCAGTAGTGGCACGCAGGCAGGAAAGCCTGGAAAAGCACGTAAAGCCGTTGGTCGTGCGCCTGATCTCTGTCCGGTCTTGTCGAAATGCCGTCCTACCGGACTATGAGATCGAGGGAATAGAGAGTGCACCTGTGTGTGCACTATAATTTTTTGTCCTGCGTAGATGGCTTGTAACGGAGACTGGTCGCCGTGGCCAAAATTCGGTGTGGATGATATTATCATTATTATATCATATACTTTAAGTGAGCAATTCTTGTATCTTTGTATATTATATGTGATTGTTTGCTACATAACAAAAACCCTAGCTAACAAAAAAATATCTTCAAAATCTTCTTACGTCTCACTTGGCGAAGAATACGCGTAATAGATATGTATACAAAAAAAAATATACTTTCGAATTATGAACATTCTCCTTTTTTCTGCCGACTTCAAAAAGGAGACGGTACTCAATTCGACTGTATGTTTTTTTTACATGTGTTACCTTATAACTTTTTACTGGGTGAACCGATTTCGATAATTCTTTTTTTATTTGAAAGCTGCTGCTTTTTAGTCTCATATGAATTTGATCAAGGTCAGACCAACAGTTTTTGAGTTATATTGAAGTCGGCTGCACAAATTTTTTAATTTTTAATTATTTAAGTTGGCCAATTAAGAATGATTGCTTCTAGTCTGCTTTTTTTAAGATATCAACCGAAATCTATCTCTTTTACCTCAACTACTCGGCTTATAAAATATTTTTATCGATTTTTAGAGTTTCGGATAACGATGTATAGAAAAAAATAATAGGGATTTATGTTAGCAACTAATTCGAAATCAGATTCATTTTGGGGGCGTAGGTTCGGATTCTACCGGCTGCGCCTTATCATATAACAGGGGCGCGTGCAAATAAGTCAACGACTCGATTGTGAACTGTTTATTGGCTTTTTTTTAAAAAAAACGTTACCCCCATAATAGGATTTTCTCCTGTGTCGTGGAGACAGATTACAAACATAAATTGCACGAGGACAAACATCCAGACCCGGAACAATTATTTGTAGGCCATAGAAATTCTTGTACCGTGCGGGAATCGAACCCGCGGCCCCCAGCGCAACAACTCATTGCTAAGCCACTGCGCCACGGAGCCGTCAAACTCTTTATTCTTTTTCTACCTGCATACTTATGATTACATGACACAACTCAAGACTAATTCATATTGTATCACTAGATGAACCAGTATTCGGCCGCAAGCTCGAGGAAGTGTGCACGGAGACAAGCCCCCGCATACCGGACTTCGTACGCGCCTGCGTGAAGGAGATCGAGAGCAGCGAGGAGAATATGTGCACGGACGGACTTTACAGAGCCAGTGGGAACCTCAGCCAAGTGCAAAAGATCAGATTAGAGGTAAGCTTTTCACTTCCTACTAGGAGTTTTCTTTCTCGCACGACTTCTTTGTGGAATAGTTTACCACTGGCAATTTTTCCGGAGCGATACGATTTATACGTGGTAGAGGTATGCTGCAGTTATATTAGCAGTTTAGTTATAGTACGAATAGGTCGCCTCGACCGGTGAAGGACCACGCTTTCACAGAATAACAGCGTAAAGTAGCAGCTCAATGCTGCTGTGTTTCGTATGGTGAGTGTAGAGAACCAGATACCCTTTTTACTGGATAAAAGGCATTCTTAGTCCTCACATAGATGTAGACGTCTATGGATCACAGCAACCACTTACCATCAGGTGGACTGTGTGCTCGCTTGTCACCCGATCCTATAAAGAAAATAGCTTTTGACTTCTTACTAGAAGTTTTCTTTCTCGCACGACTTCTTTGTGGAACAGTTTATCACTGGCAATTTTTCCGGACCGATACTACTTAGGGACCTTCAAAAAAGAGTTTACACCTTTTTAAAATGGCGGCAACGCACCTGCAATTTCCCTGGTGTTGCAGTTGTTTGTGGGCAGCGGTCCATGCGTTGAGCCGCATGCTCGTTTGTCCGCACTTCTATGAAAAACAAACCAGCCCGACAATCGTCCGCTGCTGGACGTGAACCTCTTCTGTAGTAAGGAGAATTTGTTTTAGAGAAACTCTTAGTGCTTTTTTTAAATTGAAGTGAAACCTGAACTTACAGCCATCCGGTGGCAAGTGACTACTGCAGGGTCATGTCGTCGGATTATTATGAGCATGAGGAAGTAGAGTGCATCTGTGCTTGCACACACACTCGTGAATTATGATACTAGCCTGCCCAGATGGCTAGTCTCACTTGAAACTAGAACATGGCCATAAAGACATTTATTCCGGCACTTCAGATTACAATCACAAGTTACAGTACAGGTGAATAAACAAAATTAATACGAATAAGAATAAAATAAAAAAAACACATGAAAATGAATAAACAAAAAAAATAGAGGGTATAATAACAATTCATGGCCGAAATTAGGTTTTGCAGGATATTACTATAGCATTGTTCCAGTAATCTTTTATACGTGGTAGAGCAATACTGCAGCTATATTAGCAGTTTAGTTGTAGCAGGAATGGGTCGCCTCGAACGGGGCAGGACTACGCTCTCAAAGAATACCAGTGTTAAATAGCAGCTTAACGCTGCTGTGTTTCGTATGGTGAGTGTAGAGAACCGGAGATCCTTTTTACTGGAAACGAGGCATTCCATCTTACTCCTCACGGGTGACAACGCATATGCATTTTGATTCTTTATCGAAGATAGATGTAGATATCTATGGATCTCAGCAACCACTTACCATCAGGTGGACTGAGTGCTAGCTTGTTACCCTATCATATTAAAAAAAAATTGTCACTTTTTCTCTGTAATTTGTAGATTGACCAGAAGAACCAGTCGGTCATCGCCAACAACACAGACATCCACGTGCTGACGGGTGCGCTCAAACTGTTCTTCCGGGAGCTAAAGGAGCCGCTCATACCTTGCACCATGTTCGACAGGATCCTCTCTGCTTGTTGTAAGTGTTCTATAAAATTTAAATTGTTTTTATTTTATAAAAGTGGTCAGTAGCTACTACGGTGGCCGTGGAAGGAAAAGAGTATATTTCCCGCCGGGAAAGGTGTTCTGCCCAGGGAGCGGCTAACGCTCCGAGTGATAGTTCGGAGCTGTTGTGTTATATAATATATATAGCGCGGTAGCTTTGGAACTTTAATAGCGCGATTTAGGCTTCAACTCCATAAAACTTGTAGCCAACTTTAAAAAAAAATAGATGCATTGCCACCTCTGCGAGCTAAGATGTAACGCGTCACAGACCGTAATTGTGCTACCTCTCTATACACTTTCGACCGGAAGTGTTCTTGAAGATTTATATTGTTTTGATATTCTCCACCTTCAATCTGAAGGTAAGTCCGCTTAAGGCAAAAGTGCTGTTTTTTAGTTGCTGTCCGGCGACCACTGGACAAAAGTGACGTTTTTGCCATTGGTTTTGTCTTTTTCATTTGCATTGTATTTCATCGTCTTTTATACATATTCTATTGTGTTTATTATAAGTAATATAAAAATAAATATGTTGTAATAGACGGTTACAAAATATCCTGTTATCATATTGGTTGATTGATGGATTTGGGTCAGTAGGGATTTGCAATGCACACTGGTTATTTATCGATAGTTGTATTTATTTCGACATGTTGTATTATTGCCAATTCAATTGTTATAATAATAGTAATTTACTTTTTCGACATCATAATCGCAACCTATCAAAAGACCACTGCTGAACCTAGGCCTACCCAATAGATTATGCTTGGCAACTATAGCAAAAATCCCAAGAATGGATATTTAATATAAATATCATGTTTTACGTGACGATTAAATAACATGAAGGAAGTTGGTTGCGGATTCGATCTCTGAGCTTTGAAAACAGTCACAACATACAAAACAATTGTTGTGATTACAAATAAATACAAAAATGTGTTGTAGCATGAATGGGACGGCTTGACCGGGGAAAAGCCACGCTCTCACCGAATAGTAGCGTAAATAAATAGCAGCTTAATGCTGCTGTGTTTCGTATGGTGAGTGTAGAGAACCAGAGACCTTTTTTACTGGAAAAGAGGCATCCCATCTTAGTCCTCACGGCTGGTAATGCATCTGCATTTGATTCGTAAACGAGGATAGATGTAGATGTCTATGGGCCACAGCAACCACTTACCATCAGGTGGAATGTGTGCCCGCTTGTCACATTTATCCTATAAAAAATGTTCAAAACATGAAACAGAAAACTAATTAAACAATTTAAAACTAAATGATCATTTAATTTCAGCTATAAAACCAAGAGAAGCGAGGATAAAGGAATTCAGGGACATCGTCCAGTGTCTACCCGAATGCAACAGAGATACGCTTAAATTTTTACTGGAACATCTTCTTAGGTAAATACCTATAATCTTACCAAAATACTTTTAAAATATATCTTTTCACAACAATGAACTCGAGAAGTTTTGGTTACTACATTTATTTAACCGAAAATTTGTCGATTTTTTGTCTTTTTCCTGAACTATGTGAATTTGTGTAAACAATAAGTACCTTTTGGTAAATTTTACATCATTGTAATATTTACAGCCTATTAAATTTCAATGCTGAACATAGGTCTGTGCCATAGATTTTTTATGGTTTTGAGTTATTATCAGGAACATGCTGCTGTCCCTCTATTTTATCAGTTTCTCTCTGTCGCCTCTTGTGTGTAATAGGGAAATGGATTAGGAGATAGGCAGCAGAGTCTTTCGAATAACGACGAGAGAAGAAAAAACTACGCTAGGCAATCCACCTACCAAGTGTGGCAGCTATGAAATATATCTTTCTTATACCGTATTCTCATGTCTTTGAGATGTTTTTAATAACTCAGATATGCACAGTTCCTCTCGATAATCTCTCGATCACAATCTTGTAAAGCCGCACATATATTTACTAATTAAAACTTGTGTGATACCGGCACTGAGGAAACTTAGGCACTAACATATTAAGACGATAGCTCGGCCCCTGGTTTGCTATGATTCATTTAATATAATTTATTTTTTCACAGGGTAACACAATATAGCGAGCGTAACAGAATGCACACAGCGAACCTGGCCATTGTGTTTGGTCCCACACTACTGTGGGCCCCCGCGGAACAGGCTCACAACATTGCCATCGACTGCATCCAGCAAAACAATGTCGTTGACATACTCCTCAACGACTACCATGAGATCTTCGACAGCAAGAAGAAAGCGTGACTCTTGCTCCAGTAGATCAATTGTGTAGTTCCCTAAATAAAATTATTTTTCTTTCCGAATTAAAGGTGTACTGTCCTATAAAAGAAACTTTGAAAGCAGTGCTAAGTGAAACAGCTAATTCCTGTAAAAGTAGAGAGAATAATGTTCTCTTCTCTAATCTACTAATTTATCTTTGTGCAATTTGTAACTTCTATCGATTCTTTATATTAGAAGATTAAGATACGGTTTTAATTTTATGTCAAAAGTGAACGAAAAAGTATCTTACATATTCTTTGTATTCAAGTATAATTATGTTATACTTATAAATTTACTTTAAGAAGATAATTCAATGCAATTTCTACCGGCTCGATCGGCAAGTGTATGCGTGATTTTACACAATACTGTTGCTTTGTTGTACGCAATGTTTTATAAAAATCTATAATTTAAGTGAATTGATTGACATAGGTAATTAAGATTAATTTCGCAAATATGAGAATCGTTTAGGATTCGTAACTGGAACGATGTTTCAAGTATAGCTATGAACATGTATATAAGAGATATTATTTAAAATTAGCTCGTTATTAACTGAGTCTCCAACATTTTAATACAACGCCATAAACGTCGGAAAGTTGTCGCCAGTAAATATTCATAATTGTTCGTTCCAACGGCAATATGTTAGTTTATCGATAGAAAATTTACTCTACAATACATCACTAGTAAAGCGAGTCAAACGAGATTAGAACTCAGTTGAAAACGTGGCTCTAATATTATTATTATGTTATTATTATAAATATGGTGAAACTTAGAAACGTTTATGAATTTTTAGGTATTTCATTGCGTAGACCTCAATTATTAGTTTATTATATTTTAATCGGAATTAATTAATTGAAATTTAATAAAGGAAAATTAATAAATGATAGCCATTTATTAATTTAATGGCATAAAAGATAAGTGTACCGTTTAATATCAAAAAAGTATTAATAAAGAATATAAAACAATATTGCCACAGACAAAAAAATATTCAAAACTTTTGGCGCCAAAAAAGTCTGAATCCAACAATGAAAGAGATGGAGTGCTGCGTACATTTAAAACAATGCTCAAGTTATTGTAGGAACATTCTTACGTACACGTATGCAACTGAAATCATTTGCAAACAACAACATGATTTTAGGTGCAGCTATGAACTTTTAAGGACTATATAGAAAGAAATAATAAAAATAGGTACGTGAGTGCGTCAAAAAGACGAGCGTGGTTTTGGTATCATTTGATATACGCAGCGCTCTGTCTACCTTTTTTTGTTGAACTAAGGGTTTAAAAACCATTTAGAATTGATTATTATTTAACATTACAAAAGTACATCCATTTTTACTAAGTTATTACTTACTGTGAATGTATGTAAAATATTGTGATATGACTGGAGAACATTTGAAATTTACTTATTGATTTTGAAATTGATCTCTTGCGAACGATTCAAAGTCTGGCTTTTCTTAATAGAGACAGACAAGGAGGTCCTATATTAGTTTATGCATCTTAAATGTATAAGACGTGATAGTTTCGACGTTGACATAGGTACAGTAAAAGCCCATGCTAACTAAATATTTGTTCAAAATTCAATTCACATCTGTGTTGTGATTGTAATGTTGATAGTTACGGAAAGACTGTTGGAGGCTCTAGATTTATCGTTATAAGACCTCAGACCATTCAAGAAAGATGTGCAAAGCTATATTACGTTTTAAGTGGCGCCTAAACCATACTAAACTTATTGTTGAACGCTCACGCACACATATGTTACTAAAATCATTTCCTAACAACGAGTATGATTTTAGGTGCATATGTGCGCGTGAGTGCGTATTCTTGCGATGTTAAGCATCTTTTGTTATTTTCTTTTCCACGCCATTTTCTGTCTCTACTTGGTAGAGTGCTGCAGCTGTATTTGAGTACGAATGGGTCGGCTCGACCGGGGAAGAACCACGCTCTTACAGAATATCAGCGTGAAATAACAGGTTAATGCTGTTTTGTTTCGTATGGTGAGTGTAGTGAGAACCTGTCTCAGTTCCTTTTTTACAGGTAAAAAAAAAGAAACGAAGTATTCAACCTTAGTCTTCATTGGTGACAATATCTGCATTTTGATACTTAATCGTGGATGGATGTAAATGACCGTGTGCTCGTTTGTCACCTTTATTTTATATAAAACAAGTCTATCTCTCTTTGTTATTTGAAGTTATAAGGCATGGAAATATTGAATAAAACTATTTTTACGGATTTTATCGCGTTTAATTAACTTATTTTATATTTCCGACGTTTCGGTTGCTTTCCAGCAACCGTGGTCACGGGGGACTAAGGTGATTGACGTCCCGATGTCAAAGTTAACCCGGAGTACCTTCAGCTTTTTAATTATTAATTTTGGTCCGATCTACGCAGAATGAACTAACTGTGTCTTGAAGTCTTGCAGTGGTATGCTTGGGTTTAGTTTTCAAGACTTCAAGACACAGTTAGTTCATTCTGCGTAGATCGGACCAAAATTAATAATTAAAAAGCTGAAGGTACTCCGGGTTAACTTTGACATCGGGACGTCAATCACCTTAGTCCCCCGTGACCACGGTTGCTGGAAAGCAACCGAAACGTCGGAAATATAAAATAAGTTAATTAAACGCGATAAAATCCGTAAAAATAGTTTTATTCAATGTGTAGTGTTCGCGTAAATATTAGAAATCATTAAGGCATGGAAATAGTAAAAATTGCCTGGTTTTAGAATTTTATATTCAGTTCAATGTTAAATAGTTATGTTTTATATGTGTTAGAGCCATGCTGCAACTATATTATTAGTATGGCCGTAGCACGAATGTATCGGCTCGACCGGGGAAGGACCACGCTCTCACAGAATACCAACGTAAAATAGCAGCTTAACGCTGCTGTGTTTCGTATGGTGAGTTTAGAGAACCGGAGACCCTCTTTACTGGAAACGAGGCATTCCATCTTAGTCCTCACGGGTGACAAGCGCATCAGCATTTTGATTTGTAATTGAGGATAGATGTAGATGTCCATGGGCCGCAGCAACCACTTACCATCAGGTGGACTGTGTGCTCGTTTGTCACCCTATCCTATAAAAAAGTAGTGAACAAGTTTTTGCTCAGTTGCATATCCTGTAAATATCAGCCTTTATTTGCGCAACATTTTACAACAGCTATTCATTTTCATGTCAGACAGTTCGTTCTGTGTTGGAGACTCATCTCTCCATCGATCAATGCATATGTCGTATATCGGTTTCGGTAACGTATTTTGCCTTTTAATTAGCATTAAGGAAGAAGGGGGTAATAAGAGTCATTTAAGAATCCACAAAAAAACTTTATTATAATATTTTTACACTTTTCATTCATTACAGCTTGTCAAAGTCAACCGCTAAATATAAGCCTCCTCATAGATTACCTCATAAGGGGAATATTTGCCATAGCTGCCACGATTGCCGGGCGCGTTGGCAACCGCAGTTTTTTTTCTGATTGTTATTAGGAAGACTCTGTTGCTTATCTCAAGGTTTCTTTCCCTTTGTCACCTCTTACGACACTCACGGGACGATATGGGGTGGGAGATATTCTTACACCGCCACTACACGGTTAGTTTTATACGTACTATGGTGTGACGACCTATCAATCTAAAATGTTACTTTTAGTTTTGGAAAATGTTTTCATTCACTCAATAAACCCTACCCAAATTCCATTGCTGAACCAGGGCCTAGGGATGGGCAAGGGGACAAAATATATCGATATATATCGAATCGATATTTTGAATCAGTATCGATATATATCGCGTGATATATATCGATATATCGTCACCATTTGCATGATGTAAAGATAAGGTATAAAATTTTATATTACATAAATACTTTTGTATCTCTTTTGATTGTTACATTTTTGTCATTACTACAAAATATATCGAAATTGATACGAATTCGATACTCTGAAATAAATATCGATATATCGCGATTTAAAATATCGACGATATACCTATATCGTTATTTTTATTAAATAATTTCGATATTTCGATATATCGATATATTTTGCCCAAGCCTACCTGGGCCTACCCGATAGATTGCCTCATAGACGGGCATAATACTTTTATTATAATTAAACTTAAAAAAAATATCGCGTTTTACCCTCAGACCGACAACATAAGATACACCAAATCTTTAGCAATATAAGTTTGTTTAAGGATAAGGATGACAAACGAGCACACATTCCACCTGATGGTAAGTGGATGCTGTGGCCCATAGACATCTGCATGTGTCCTCGATTAAGAATCAAAATACAGATGCGTCGTTGTCACCCATTAGTAATATGATGGAATGCTACACAAAACACAGCAGCATTAAGCTGCTATTTTACGATGGTGTTGTGAGAGCTTAGTCGTCTTCCCGGTAGAGCCGACCCATTCGTGCTACGTCCATAATATAGCTGCAACGTGACTCTACCACGTGTATTATCTTTTAGTCTTGATTTTATTGTAAAGCGCGGTCGCGGAGAAGGAATTTTTTCATTGCTTTGCATTTTGAACTTAATTCCCATCATAAAAAGATTTATTTCTATTGCAACTAAGATAGTTTTAGGACATTTTGAAAAGCGAGTTTATTCTCAAGTTATTAAAGTTCACATTTGTTTGGATTGCAATAATCTGAAATTCTGCCTACTCCGCGATCACGCTATAGATATCATTGCCTGCTGACCTTTGCCCCATTCTCCCCTATATACCATATATTAAACACGCAAGTGAATGGCCTGCTCTACTAACAACATAGTGGACAGTTTTCCTAATAGAATTGTTTTCGGGGCCAACATTGTACATAGAAGTCCTTGCTTGAATAGGCTTTAAGCCCACTTATTACGTGCCTTAATATGGAATTATATTATTTTGTAAATATTCATCATAGATGATAAATCCATTTATGTGATACGAGTAGTGTTGTTGATGTGTTGTACTACTTTATTTTTTATCTGTATATATATATTATTTCTTTTTTTTTAAATTAA